GGTAATTGGTCATATAATGTAACGGGGCCGAGAGAGAGAGAGACAGAGAGACAGAGAGACAGACAGAGCGAGATAGAGAGAGAGAGACAGAGAGAGAGAGACAGGGAGAGAGAGACAGAGAGAGAGACAGATAAACACAGAGAGAGAGAGACAGAGAGAGACAGATAGAGACAGAGAGAGATAGAGAGACAGAGAGAGAGACAGAGAGAAAGACAGAGAGACAGAGAGACAGAGAGACAGAGATAGAGACAGAGAGAGAGAGAGAGAGAGAGAGACAGAGAGTTTGCAAGTAAAAGAAAACGTAACATTCATACCGTGTGGTTTCAGGTGTGGTGTTTGATAGAGAAAACAATGACCGTAAGCGATTGTGGTCACTTTGGTTGAAGTGAGAAGAGACGGGACATTGCTTGTCTTCACCAATGTACGTATGTGCTCGCTGAACCTATCAGCCTGTCGTCGCCCAGTGTCTCCCACAAAGCATTATAGGCATCGCTTACATGCCATTTCCTTAATTAAGGAAGTAAATTTATTCAGTTTGAAAACTGTAAGAGCAGGTCTATCAGTGACTTGACCGCATGGCTTACTTCTAAAAGGCTGCGGCTATTCGGACCCGGGTCCGAGAAGTTAGAGTTTACAATATTTACAAATTATTTTAGGGTTTATAAGACCAAATTTGCTATCAAATGAAAGATAATTGAATGGACTAAATGTTTGTAAACTTACTGCTTCAGTTTAACTAAAATAAAGTACCACGAATGACATACAAATAGCCATTGTTCTACACTAAACACAACAAATAGCCATTGTTCTACACTAAACACAACAAATAGCCATTGTTCTACACTAAACACAACAAATAGCCATTGTTCTACACTAAACACAACAAATAGCTATTGTTCTGCACTAAACACAACAAATAGCCATTGTTCTACACTAAACAAAACAAATAGCCATTGTTCTACACTAAATACAACAGTGATTTTGTTTAAACCACCCAGACCTTGTGCCTTTATTTAGCGCTTTTCAGAGCTTTCATACACATGAGCAAAACACCAGCCCACAATCACTGAAATGTTAAAGGCCAAGGTCGGTTCAAGGAGAAAAAATCGTCATGTACTACGCCCTACGGGAGACGAAACACTCATTACCCCAGGTGACCTTAGAGAGCTTTCTTGTTGTGTAGAAAAACATGTATTTCTGCACAAGGCAGTTGAAGAAAAATGACCATCTCACGTGACACCTCATTCATTTTAAGACGTGAGAAGATGTTTAACTAACCAAATAAAACCTTTGAAATCTGTTTTTTTAACCGAATGTGAACAATTTCTTGACATTAAAACGTTTGTCAAATATGTATAGCCTTCTTCACAGCAACTATGAGATGATTGCGACACCACAGAGACAGACTCCTTTCACAGACAGCTCTTACACACAGCTCTAACAGACAACTCTAACAGACAACTCTGAGAGACAACTCTAACAGACAGCTCTAACAGACAACTCTGACAGACAGCTCTGAGAGACAACTCTAACAGACAGCTCTAACAGACAACTCTGACAGACAGCTCTAGCAGTCATCTCTAACAGACAGCTCAGCAAGGCACCTCAAAAGACAGGTCACAAGACATCTTCAATAGACAGCTCACAAGACATCTTCAATAGACAGCTCACAATACATCTTCAATAGACAGCTCACAAGACATCTTCAATAGACAGCTCACAAGACATCTTCAATAGAAACCTCTCCAAACACCAGATTAAAATTTAAATACTAAAAAAAAAATTATCTTTTTTAAAATAATTAAAAGACTCGCTTAAACTCAATTAAAAGTCAAACATAATTCAAAGTTACTGAAATGCATTAAGCAAAGAAAGAGAGAGCAGAAGGTGTTTTCAAACATGGAATAAACAAACTTTAAAAACACAATTTTTCGTATAAATCCTTTATAAAATGTAATATCAACAATGGGGGGGGGGGCGGAAGCTGAAAGTTGGACAAAACATGCACTTGATGAGACCCCCATTAGTTCTCCCACCCCCAAGGCCAGCAAACCGCGATATTTTCTTTAAAGAATATTGTTTAGCGCAGTTATGGGGAATTTTAATGTGTGAAATTATATTTCCTTCAAACACCCCCCCCCCCCGCATCACCAATTTTTTTTGTTTTTTATTTTTTTTTGAAAAACAGATTTCATGTGGGTCGTTGTTGCGGGGGTGGGGCTGAAAACTTGACAAATTGTGTTGTTACCGGTAATGAGTCTATGTGCCAATTTTCCTTCAAACCCCCCCCCCCCGCATCACCAATTTTTTTTGTTTTTGATTTTGTTTTGAAAAACAGATTTCATGTGGGTCGTTGTTGCGGGGGTGGGGCTGAAAACTTGACAAATTGTGTTGTTACCGGTAATGAGTCTATGTGCCAAGTTTCAGCTCGATCAGTTTTTAATGGGAAGTGGGCCAGTTAGCCGTCCGAAGATTTTGTGAGCCAGACCCGAAAAAAATTAAAGTTTGATTAAAGGATATAAAAAACATATTTTAGTTTCGTCTCCATTCATTTCGAAACCTTGGCTACATAGAGTGCTACAAAGAGTGCTGAATAGAGTGCTGCATTGAGTGCTGCATAGAGTGCTGCACAGAGTGCCACATTGGGCTCATCAATGCTCCATTCACAAACCTTTCTTTGGTTACATAGAGTTCTACATAGAGTGCTTCACATAGAGTGCTACATAGAGTGCTAAATAGAGTGCTACATAGTGTGCTACACAGGGTGCTACATAGAATGCTACATAGAGTGCTACATAGAGTTCTTTACAGAGTGCTACATAGAGTGCTACATAGAGTGCTTCATAGAGTGCTCATCTATGCTCCCTGCACTTTCTACTTGTCAGTGTCCTAAAACTCGTATTGGTAAAGAGTCTTATATTAAAAGTTTTAAAGAAATATTTTAAAATGTTTTTCGTTTCCTTGCCGCCAGGTATGCAAAAAAACAGGCTTCCACAAAAACACTGCCGACAACAGACCTTAGAGCGGAGATCAGAGTAGGAGCTCGGAGTTGTGGAGATGGTTCTACGGACATAATAAAAACTGGTAATACAATAATTGAACATAGATTTATATTGTGCAGCCCGCTAGAGCAGTGATCGGAAAACTGGGGTAAATTATCCCAAATGGTGAAAAATGGAAACATGGAAATCTTTGAGGTAATGAGGGCTTAATAGACAGAACTAAAATGCTATTTTAAGCGAGTTTTTTTTTAACGATTTGTTGTAATAAAACGGATTCAATGGCGTGTAGTTACTAGTGGCACGGAAACTAGCCTGTGTAATAGCAAACGCTGTCAATAGCTTGTAGTTACTAGTGGCTCGGCAACTAGCTGGTGTAATAGCAAACGCTGTCAATAGCTTGTAGTTACTAGTGGCTCGGCAACTAGCCTGTGTAATAGCAAGACGCTGTCAACAGCTTGTAGTTACTAGTGGCACGGAAACTAGCCTGTGTAATAGCAAACGCTGTCAATAGCTTGTAGTTACTAGTGGCTCGGCAACTAGCTGGTGTAATAGCAAACGCTGTCAACAGCTTGTAGTTACTAGTGGCTCGGCAACTAGCGCTCATGTCTCGTCTTGTGTATGTCATTCTTGTCTAGAGATGATAATACTATTTTGAAAGGTTCAACGTTGGACGAGGGGAAATACATCTTTCATCCGTGTATTCATTTTACGAAGAAAGACGTGCGCCTTAAGTTACACTGAACTTACACATTGTGTTCAGAGGCGTGCACAGGGAACACACGTCACACCGAACACACGTCACACCCAACACACGTCACACCCAACACACGTCACACCCAACACACGTCACACCCAACACACGTCACACCCAACACAGCAGTGTGGGTTGTGTGCAGTGTGGGTTGTGTGCAGTGTGGCAACACACGTCACACCCAACACACGTCACACCCAACACACGTCACACCCAACACACGTCACACCCAACACACGTCACACCCAACACCCGTCACACCCAACACACGTCACACCCAACACACGTCACCACCTTGCTTCATCCGTTCCTTTACGACTGTAAAACTCGCTTGCCTAAGTAAAATAAAAAGATTTTTCTTCATTTCGCGAGTCAAGCTCCACAAGATTTAAAAAACAATTATTTTTTTCATTAGCTCAAAGAAATGTATTTGTTTCTAAAAATAATGTGTTAAGTAATTTTAAGTATCACATAGAAGAAAAATTAAATATTGCATATAATGCTATCGACTAAAACTGATAGAGACAACAGAATAAGACAAAAGAAATGATCCAAAAGTGTTCGATGTTAATGAAAAATTAAACCAAGCCATTTTAAGTAAGACAAGCTTACTGTCATTGAGAAACAGGGGGAGAGAGAAAGAGGGAGGGAGAGAGGTTTGAGAGAGAGAGAGAGAGAGAGAGAGAGAGAGAGAGAGAGGGTGCGGGAGAGAGATGGGGCGGGAGAGAGAGAGGGGGCGGGAGAGAGAGAGAGGGGGGGGGGGGGGGAAAACAATGTCTCACTTCCTTCTGGGGTGGGGGGGGGGGGGGGGGGGGGGGGGGGGGGGGGGGGGTGGGGTGAGAGGGGGGGGGGGGGGTTGAAAACAATGTCTCACTTCCTTCACAACAGTATGAAGTTCTTATTCATTCATTCATTTTAATTCATCGAAAAATTTGGCCTATGTGAGTTCTACTCAATATTCTTAGTGTGAGACGAAGACGTCTTATTGTGTCCTCCTTTATTATCCTGGATAATTTTAGCACTTTTAGAACTTTGTTTTGTTTCTATACGCTTTAAAAAATCCTCCAATTTTTTTTTTCTTTCTTGAATCTTCCAAATCTCCAACCAGGTGTTGTAGAGATCACTCATAGTGAGACAGACGTCATGTCAGCTGATGTCATCATATACGAAACGTCTTGTGCAGCAGAAGGCATAATTCAGTGTCATTGACCTTGGCTCACCTTTATCTGACACGGTAATTTGCCAGTTGGCAAGTCAAATGTTGATGTTTTTTTGGGTTTTTTTTTAAAACAAACATCCTGTTTAGTTAAGATTAATGCAGCTAGAATGAATCTCCCATCCTTATAAATACCAGCTGAATTTCATGGTCTTCAAAAGAATTAACTTGAAAGCAAACGTTTACAAGCATATGTAAGTATCATTGCCTAATTGTCTGATGATTGCCTAATTGTCTGATGATTGCCTGATTGTCTGATCATTGCCTAATTGTCTGATCATTGCCTAATTGTCTGATGATTGCCTAATTGTTTGATGATTGCCTAATTGTCTGATGGTTGCCTAATTGTCTGATCATTGCCTCATTGTCTGATGATTTCCTAATTGTCTGATCATTGCCTAGTTGTCTGATCATTGCCTAATTGTCTGATGATTGCCTAATTGTTTGATGATTGCCTAATTGTCTGATCATTGCCTAATTGTCTGATGATTGCGAAATTGTCTGATCATTGCATAATTGTCTGATCATTGCCTAATTGTCTGATCATTTCCTAATTGTCTGATGATTGTCTAATTGTTTGATGATTGCCTAATTGTCTGATCATTGCCTAATTGTCTGATGATTGCCAAATTGTCTGATCATTTCCTAATTGTCTGATCATTTCCTAATTGTCTGATCATTTCCTAATTGTCTGATCATTGCATAATTATCTGATGATTTCCTAATTGTCTGATCATTGCCTAATGGTCTGATCATTGACTAATTGTCTGATCATTGCCTAATTGTCTGATCATTTCCTAATTGTCTGATCATTGCATAATTATCTGATGATTTCCTAATTGTCTGATCATTGCCTAATGGTCTGATCATTGCCTAATTGTCTGATGATTGCCTAACTGTCTGATCATTGCCTAATTGTCTGATCATTGCCTAATTGTCTGATCATTGCCTAATTTTCTGATCATTTCCTAAGTGTCTGATTATTGCCTAATTGTCTGATCATTTCCTAATTGTCTGATCATTGCCTAATTGTCTGTTCATTGCCTAATGTCTGATCATTTCCTAATTGTCTGATCATTGCCTAATTGTCTTATCATTGCCTAATTGTCTGATCCACAAAAATAATGTTTCATAGCAGGCCTATGAACTAAATTTAATTTAGTTTTTTTTATATTTGTAATCGTATCTATCCTGCTTAGTACAGTTTCAGTGTGTTCAATATTTATTTAGTATTTCCTAGGCACCAGTTATTTGTAGAAAAATTGTTTTTACCATTTTTTGAAATGTAAATTATTGCTTTTTCTGCTTTCATTAAAGTAAGTTTTTTTGTTTTTTTTTAATCAAATAAAGGCAAAAGCATAAGAAATAATGTGTTCGTCATTTGTTTGGCGTTATCCTACTATAATCAGTGCTTTTAAAACAAGTTTCATAACTTTTCATTTTCAATAATCGCGGTTCAAATATTAAACATTATTTCAAATATTTAATAATAAATTACGTTAATATAATTTTCCCTTTTGATGAAAAAATTGTCAAAGTGGGCTTATTAGGTTTATAAAATATAATTCTTAATTTAACTTTGCTTTTGACGAATATTTCCACCAAAAAGAGTATATGTACATGCTTATTAATCTATATTTTTAATCATTTATATGAACTTCCATTTTGTATATTTAGAGCAAAATCTCCGGACGGCTACTTGACCCACTTTACATCAACGTAATGAGCTCGTAACAACACATTCTATCATGTTTTCAGCCGCACCCCCAACCCTAACAAATCAGTGTTTTCCTGTTTTTCAATGGGGCAATAAAGGAAATATGATGCCACTAAATTCATAAAATTCCCAAGACTTGCGCTAAATGACATTCTTTTAAAAAAATATTGCCAGTGCGTTTGGTGCCTAATATTTTCTTTTGTTTTTCCCCCGAATAGTGGTGAATGAAATGTGCGGTGTAAAAGCGGGTGTGACATTAGAATAGTAGATAAAATGTTTATTTTTTTTAAATTTAAAATAAAGTATTTATGCGAAAAACTTTGTCTCTAGGGGTTGTTTAATTCTATTTGAACACGCCATGTCTCATTAGCCAAAGATGTTAAACAATTGTAGTTAGCTAAAGTCGAGAGTTCACTTCACAGTAATGTAAATCGTGTACACATGCGAAACAATATTGGTGTTCGCTTTGCCGTGAATTATTGCATTCAGCGGCCATTCTTTTGAATATGACGTTTATTATTTTGAATGTGTGTGAGTGTTCACATCAGCTTGTTTCAATCTGTCAGCTTTAAAAAAATGATTTGTAAATTACGATGAATTGAATGTCTTCACAGATTCGAAATATCTCAAGCACAATGAAGACCTTCCAAGTATCTCTCCTGGTTTCTGCGTGCATTCTGGCAACATTGTCCTTGCTGGCTGATGGCCAGACGCTGGAACCAAAGAAAAAGTAAATAATTCGTATGCCTTATTTAAACAATAATCGTCTGGTCTGGTTAGTGGCGACATGAATAGATGACTCTAAAGAAGAAAGAAAAGATATTGACTTGTTTGGGCCACCGACACCTGCTCCTGTGTCACATTCCTAGCATGGGCTACTAACACCTGCTCCTGTGTCACATACCCTTTATGGGCTACTAACACCTGTTCTTGTGTCACATACCCTGCATGGGCTACTAACACCTGTTCTTGTGTCACATACCCTGCATGGGCTACTAACACCTGCTCCTGTGTCACATACTCAGCATGGGCTTTTAACACCTTCTCGTGTGTCACATATCCTGTATGGGCTACTAACACCTGCAAACAATGCTATCTCTCAGAACAATACTATGGCTGGTCTCTCCTTACAGAAGGGACCGGTGTGACTACGAACAGCCGACTTGTGGGATATGTGGTCGAAAGATCAACGTCACGATCATCGCCACCAACAGCCTGCAGGGAGACAACTTTGAGCTGACGGTGCCCATCATCAGGGAGCACAAGAGGAACCTGCTGTCTTTCTTACAACAGGCTGCCGAGCTGGAAAATGGTTTCAAGTAGGTCATTAATAAATATTCGCTTAAGAGTTGTTGTTTGTACATTTTCTTTTTAAGTCTTTCATACCACAGGGATTAACAAACACAAGGTAAGGGAACGCTTTAAACAAAGACAACACAAAGGTTGAACGTGTCGGCAAAAAGCCTTCTTCGACGAACAATAAAAATGAATTTAATTTATAGAGTGGCAGTAGGCTGCAAAGCCATGAAGCGGGTTTAAGAAGGCCTTACAATATGTGGCTACCGAGAGTAGCACTAAACTTGCGCCCCTATCAAGCTTGAGAAACGTATTATTACATTAATAAGATTTATATGGTACATAAGGACAGCAGAGCCAGCACATTAGTGTGCAGCAATTAAACCTATTCTTTACAGGTAAACTATACCAAAAAAATAGCATTCAATTTCTTTGTCCGGTTCGCCATTTTTGCGCCCCCGCCCATATTTAAATGACACCTACGGCACGCGCCAAATCTTGCAACCCCCCCCCCCTCCCCACCCATTCGGTACGCCTTTTCTCCAAAAGTCCTATTTTTCAGCTACTTGAAAAATGTTTGCTTCTGAACTGACGTAAAGGCTTTTGTTTTTGTTTTTTTGGTTTTTTTTGTTTGTTTTTTCAATAGTAAATGTCAAACCTGACACGGGAGAGGGGTTGCGAAGGGGGCTGTCATTTCCGGAAAATTACAGTGAGTTTTCATGGATGAGGCGGCAAACATCTTGACCCACCCAGGGCGGCACCCACCACGCCACTGAATGTCATCTTTTCATAAGTTTGACTCCCCAAGTCTGAAGTTTCAAACATAATTTTGACCTTTATCAAATTTCACCTTCTTGCTCATGGCTATGAACTTTGATATCTGACCTCTGACCATAATCTCCAGGTTTCAGGCCACCTACTTCGCGAATCTAGGCTACTACATCGACAGCATCAACGGCGTGAGGGCGTCACCGGAGAACAAGACTTATTGGCAAATCAGCAGCGATGGGGTCAGCCTTCAATGCGGTGAGTGTGGATCACTTTTGACTAAGACAATAATTAGTTTGATATAAAATCAAACCTGTACGACTACTGTACGATGAAAGTGAGGTGTTAGCCCATAATCTAACTACAGAAGTTTGGAGATCAGCTCCGGTGTGAATGTTCTGTCTCTGTTTACCACCAAATATTTGTATCACGCTTCTGTCCCATGATGCCGTGCACGTAAAGATTGTTGAAGTATTAAGGCTTTTATCTCTGCAAATTTCAGCGTGTTTTTTAAACTCAAAGAGGATCTAAAAGACTTAAAGTAGCATAGATTATGTGAGGGTTCTAATCTAGTAGACTTAAAGTAGCATAGATTATGTGAGGGTTCTAATCTAGTAGACTAAAAGTAGCATAGAATATGTGAGGGTTCTAATCTAGTAGACTAAAAGTAGCATAGAATATGTGAGGGTTCTAATCTAGTAGACTTAAAGTAGCATAGAATATGAGTGTTCTAACATAAGTTAAAGAAGCCTGTACAGCTATCTGCAGGCAGGAATTCAATAGAAGTATCAGTCAGCAGTGTAACGTAAGGGTGGGTTGCAGTCAGTACTTTAACGTAATGGTGGGTTGCAGTCAGTACTTTAACGTAATGGTGGGTTGCAGTCAGTACTTTTACGTAATGGCGAGTTGCAGACAGAACTGTGACGACATTGTTGGTTGAAGTCAGATCTGTGACGTCATAGTGGGTTGCAGTCAGATCTGTAACGTCATAGTGGGTTGCAGTCAGTACTGTGAAGTAATGATGAGTTGTAGTGTACAATTTTTTTATTGCTACTCTTGACATTTAATTTACCACAAGTTTTTTTGTTTAACCTGCTACTTACAAAGATTTTGTTAGCTCCACTCTGCTACTAACAAAGATTTTGTTAGCTCCACTCTGCTACTAACAAAGATTTTGTTAGCTCCAGCTCTGCTACAAAAAAGATTTTGTTAGCTCCACTCTGCTACTAACAAAGATTTTGTTAGCTCCAGCTCTGCTACAAACAAAGATTTTGTTAGCTCCAGCTCCACTACTAACAAAGATTTTGTTAGCTCCAGCTCTTCTGCCAACAAAGATTTTTTAGCGCCAGCTCTGCTACAAACAAAGATTTTTTTAGCTCTAGCTCTGCTACTAAAAAAGATTTTGTTAGCTCCAGCTCTGCTACTAACAACGATTTTGTTAGCTCCAGCTCTACTACAAACAAAGATTTTGTTAGCTCCAGCTAAGCTACTAACAAAGATTTTGTTAGCTCCAGCTCTTCTGCTAACAAAGATTTTTTTTAGCGCCAGCTCTGCTATAAAGATTTTGTTAGCTCCAGCTCTGCTACTAACAAATATTTTGTTAGCTCCAGCTCTTCTGCCAACAAAGATATTTTAGCGCCAGCTCTGCTACAAACAAAGATTTTTTTAGCTCCAGCTCTGCTACTAACAACGATTTTGTTAGCTCCAGCTCTACTTTTAACAAACATTTTGTTAGCTCCAGCTCTGCTTTTAACAAACATTTTGTTAGCTCCAGCTCCGCTACTAAAAAAGATTTTGTTTTCGCATGGAGGTGGAAAACAATGGATCGCTCCGAATGGAAGGATGTGATGGACCAGGCCAGGGCCCTACATGGGCTGTAGTGCTACTGATGATGATGATGATATAAATATTTATAAACATGTTTTATTGATGTAACTGACCCACCCTTTTAACTGGGAATTAACATACATGTACCTAAAGCATAGCTGGTAGAAAAGTGGGGCAATATAGCTGTTAGAAGGGTGGGGCAATATAGCTCGTACACGGGTGAGGCAACACAGCCGAACGAAAAGTGGCGGAAATTTAGCTGTAGAAGCATGGGGCAACATAGCTTGTAGAACAATGAGGCAAGACAAGTGTTAGAAAAGTGGGTCGTCTATTTTTAAAATTAATAAAAATATGAAAAAAAACAAAAACTATAACAACAAAAATATATATATTTTAAAAATTAATATATAAACATTTGTTTAGCTCGGAGAAGTAAAATTTTTTACCAACTCTTCTCAAGTTCATGGCACAAAGACCCTGCTCCAGAGCTCAGAGCTCCAGCTTCAATATCCGCTCCAAATCCTTGTTATAAATACGTGTACTGTCATACAGTGCCCGAAATGCAGTGATCCCTGTTAGTCATGGTTAGACTTGCATACAGTGCCCGAAATGCAGTGATCCCTGTTAGTCATGGTTAGACTTGCAGACAGTGCCCGAAAGTCAGTGATCCCTGTTAGTCATGGTTAGACTTGCATACAGTGCCCGAAAGGCAGTGATCCCTGTTAGGCATGGTTAGACTTGCAGACAGTGCCCGAAAGGCAGTGATCCCTGTTATTCATGGTTAGACATGCATACAGTGCCCGAAATGCAGTGATCCCTGTTATTCATGGTTAGACTTGCATACAGTGCCCGAAATGCAGTGATCCCTGTTATTCATGGTTAGACTTGCATACAGTGCCCGAAAGGCAGTGATCCCTGTTAGTCATGGTTAGACATGCATACAGTGCCCGAAAGGCTGTTATCCCTGTTATTCATGGTTAGACATGCATACAGTGCCCGAAAAGCAGTGATCCCTGTTATTCATGGCTAGACATGCAGACAGTGCCCGAAAGGCAGTGATCCCTGTTAGTCATGGTTAGACATGCAGACAGTGCCGAAAGGCAGTGATCCCTGTTAGTCATGGTTAGACTTGCATACAGTGCACGAAAGGCAGTGATCCCTGTTAGTCATGGTTAGACTTGCATACAGTGTCCGAAATGCAGTGTTTCCAATCCTAATTATAACTCTGAACTAACATGGCAATATTTTAAAATGTAGCGTTTAAGGGAAATGCCAATTTACATGTTTGAATATATAGTGAAAGCTTTTATAAAAATTTTTTGTCTAAAATTCATTCGTCACAGTCTCTATATGACTCTGTGACACAACGCCGTAGATATGTATAGCATTATCGTTAGATTAAAACTGAATAAATTGTTGAATATATTCTAGACATCAGCAATTGTATATATGCCCTTATGCAGGAGTGTGGAACCTTTTTACTTCCAAGGGCCGTTCGGATGTTTAGAGTGTCATACGCGGGCCATAAAAAAATATGTGCCGGTGTCCCCCCCAAATATACAACTTTCAGCCGTTACATAAAGATCATGATCTGAAAAAATTGTGATACAAATTAATATAATTAAATATTATTTCACCATCAAATATTTCTTGGGATTTTAAACTATTTTAAGATTAAAATTATTAATATAAAAATGTATAAAATAATAGGTTCTGTTAGCTGTAAATACATATAAATTGTCTGCGCAATTTCAAGTTTTCAGTAACGTACTTAATGCTTTTTCAAAATAAGTTACTTAACAGATATAAATAGTGTCTTTTCCGTCGCTGAATACAAACATTTTGGGTACTATGTCCAAAAGTCTTTTGTGTAATATGTTTTTTTAATGTTTAAGAACCAAACAGCGCGAAAATTTTGAGTATTTCCTCAAACATTGCAATTTCAAGATTTAATTTGTTGCTTAAATGATTTTCTTGGATGTTGACAAATCCTGACTGGACGTTCCCCAACCTTGGTCTTATGGCACGGAGTTAGCGATTGTCTGAGATCTGTAAATAACATACTATTTGAAAAATAAGCTCTATTACACATCTGTCATACGTAACTATGTTTTCTATTCAAATCTAACTATAGTGTTCTCAGGGGTGTGATAAGTGACTGCGTTATATATTCTATTATAACCATATAGTTCACAAATGTGTCTTATTGCTCACAGTGATGACGTATTATTGACAAGTGTGTCTTATCGTTCACAGGTGTGTCCTCTTACGTCCCCAAGAACGAGGATGTGATCCTGTTTAACTTTACGACCTACCAGAATGCTGGCTACTGAATCTAATGCATGAGTTATTGATGAGGACATTTTGTGTGTGTGTGCATTGAAGGACGGGCGAATTGCTGACACGAAGCAGAGGTCAACATTCAATTATCTGATGCCCAGAATTGTGCGAGAGAGTGGAGACAAGGAAATTAATCATCATCATAATTTATTGAAGAGCCATTTTTATCCAAGATTATACAGTTGTTGTTTAAAGTGAAAGAAGTGGAAATTTTAAATCTCAAATGACAATAGAACAAATGATGTTCTATATCTAGATGGGAAGGAAGTGTAAGGCAACTAAAACTATAAACAACAAACTACAAACAACAAACTAAAAACTACAATTTAAAAAAAATCGCGAACAAGTTTATTCGTGGCGAAGAATAAAAGGAGAATGACAATTGACTAGAAATAATCTCGCTATCTCCTGCCTGAAGTTGCAGGTATTTAGAAAACGCCCTGGAGGATTGGCACTGTTACTGATTGCTTTAATTGTATGAACTGTTATTTTTTCCTATGTAATGTAATACTCAGGAAATTAAACATATAAAATATGTACAACATTTACACACCTTTTTAGCGTTATACATTTTATTACTAAACAATTCCATAGAAATATAATTTTTCAAAGAATGAAAAAATTAGAACGGTATATTTCTCATGTGTTAAATGTATGTCAATGTGATTAATTCATATTACACAAAATTACGATGATTTTTTTTTTAAGTACTTCGTAACGTCAATGTAGAGATGGGACTCAAACCATATTTTAGCATTTCGGGTTTGGCTCGGTTTGTTAACAACTTAAGTTTGGGTTCTGTTCGGGGACAAATTAAGTTTGAGTTCTGTTCGGGGTCAAATTAAGCTTGGGTTCGGTTTCAGCTCAATTTCGCTTTCGGTTCGGTTTCGGTAATAACCAGGAATGCAATCTTGTTTTTGGGAAAAGTTGTTATCGGTTTTATAACTTCGGTTCAAACCCATTTGTATGCTTTACAATAAAGGCACAGGCTAAAACAACAAAGAGTGGACGCTTTCTCTCCCATCTATCCTATCTATTCCATCACATCCCCCACACCCACCCACGTACATCTCGTATCATCTGAGTGCTGTCAGTTGTAAACAATGGATATGTTTCTTAAATAAATACAACTCACTCCTGGGCACTTGCGTAGAGCCATCCGGGCACTTATTACCTTATAATGAGGGTTTTACCTTATAACTGCAGAGTTTCTTCTTGTGGGTGTCAACAACAGAGTCCCACCTCGGGCGGTACTAACCCTATCTACGCCCCTGTATCTAGGTCATAGAGATTACTGTGCAAGTTAAGTGTGTAATCCTGTCATAGTAGCAAATGTGTAATCCTGTCATAGTAGCAAATGTGTAATAATGTCATAGTAGCAAATGTGTAATCCTGTCATAGTAGCAAATGTCATGGAAAGCCATTGACGTTAACTTTAAGCAGTACAAATAAGAATATGGAAATACTTCAACGGTTCTCACGATTTTGGACATTCTTTGTTGTTTGTCTTTGTCTTCGTTTTCTCCCTACTTAACATTTCATTGACTTCTCATAATCAAATCCAATCCACAGAGGTAGAGTATATTTATGGATAGAGAGTTCAGAATTCAAGAAGTGAAAGTTGAGGTGGTTAACAAAGAAGAGCCAGAGAAGCACTGTCTATGAACTACGAGCCAAGCGCCAAGATCTTCTGTTTGTTTAACGAACGTGCGCATGTGACAGATCAGACGTGCCTTGCACATGATTGCACTTACTGGCAATAAAGGGCGCTTGGAAGAACCGAGTCCTATTTTGTTTCATTCAAATTGTGTTATGTAAAAAAAGAAATACCACCACGACATTGCTCCGCGGTCAATAATATCCTGTTGACGTCATATGTAGTCGCTAAGTCGGTTACTGAGTCATGCCATACGCACCAACTTGATCTGTCACTGGCTCACACGGGGGCGTAGGCTGGCGTCACTGTCAGATGGTCAAGATTACTTTTCAGTGCACAGATAGGAGTTAATATTCATTTAAAAGAAGTCAAAAGCTGGCACACAAGTTGTCGTTTGTGTTGTCACATGTCTTTGAAAATTAATTTTATATTTCCATCGCAACACACACACACACACACACACACAAATCAACCAAATAAATAATTACAAAAACACCAGGGTTTCCATCTCATTGTCTTTGTCATTAGGAACTGAAATGACCTTGTTATCAATTATTTCATTGAAACCATTGCTTCGTTGACAGTCTTATAATTGTTTACAATACAAATCAACGGCAAAGAGTAATTACTGAGATAATGGAGATTATGTCTTTCACTTTCAAGGGGAAAAGAAACTGTCAGTGAAGGGTTAGGCATTGTTAGCCTGCCCAGATATGCCCTAGTGGTTGGCCTGCCCAGATATGCCCTAGTGGTTGGCCTGCCCAGATATGCCCTAGTGGTTGGCCTGCCCAGATATGCCCTAGTGGTTGGCCTGCCCAGATATGCCCTAGTGGTTGGCCTGCCCAGATATTCCCTAGTGGTTGGCCTGCCCAGATATGCCCTAGTGGTTGGCCTGCCCAGATATTCCCTAGTGGTTGGCCTGCCCAGATATGCCCTAGTGGTTGGCCTGCCCAGATATTCCCTAGTGGTTGGCCTGCCCAGATATGCCCTAGTGGTTGGCCTGCCCAGATATTCCCTAGTGGTTGGCCTGCCCAGATATGCCCTAGTGGTTGGCCTGCCCAGATATTCCCTAGTGGTTGGCCTGCCCAGATATGCCCTAGTGGTTGGCCTGCCCAGATATTCCCTAGTGGTTGGCCTGCCCAGATATGCCCTAGTGGTTGGCCTGCCCAGATATTCCCTAGTGGTTGGCCTGCCCAGATATGCCCTAGTGGTTGGCCTGCCCAGATATTCCCTAGTGGTTGGCCTGCCCAGATATGCCCTAGTGGTTGGCCTGCCCAGATATTCCCTAGTGGTTGGCCTGCCCAGATATGCCCTAGTGGTTGGCCTGCCCAGATATTCCCTAGTGGTTGGCCTGCCCAGATATGCCCTAGTGGTTGGCCTGCCCAGATATTCCCTAGTGGTTGGCCTGCCCAGATATGCCCTAGTGGTTGGCCTGCCCAGATATTCCCTAGTGGTTGGCCTGCCCAGATATGCCCTAGTGGTTGGCCTGCCCAGATATTCCCTAGTGGTTGGCCTGCCCAGATATGCCCTAGTGGTTGGCCTGCCCAGATATTCCCTAGTGGTTGGCCTGCCCAGATATGCCCTAGTGGTTGGCCTGCCCAGATATTCCCTAGTGGTTGGCCTGCCCAGATATGCCCTAGTGGTTGGCCTGCCCAGATATTCCCTAGTGATTGGCCTGCCCAGATATGCCCTAGTGGTTGGCCTGCCCAGATATTCCCTAGTGGTTGGCCTGCCCAGATATGCCCTAGTGGTTGGCCTGCACAGATATGCCCTAGTGGTTGGCCTGCCCAGATATGCCCTAGTGGTTGGCCTCCCCAGATTTGGCCAGATATGCCCTAGTGGTGGCCTGCCCAGATATGCCCTAGTGGTTGGCCTGCCCAGATATTCCCCAGTGGTTAGCCTGTCCAGATATGTCCCAGTGGTTAGCCTGCCCAGATATGCCCTAGTGGTTAGCCTGCCCATATATGCCCCAGTGGTTGGCCTGCCCATATATACCCAGAGACTTGCATATCTGTGTACGAGGTTAAATTTAGGTCAACAGATCTAGGACATCTCAAACTTTTTGACATTTTCTGACATCAAAAACTTTCATAAAATATCGAGATTTCAAACATCAAAAATGTACATCACTGGATTGGTTAAATTACGAAAAGTAAATATTAAACCCTTGGGTGGGGGTTGTGGTGTCACAGCTTATTTTATTAAAACACGTATATATATATATATATATATATATATATATATATATATATATATATATATATATATATATAAGAAGGAGTTAGAAGGACATAACGCCAAAGGTCCGATAAGTACGTTCGGATTCCTTAAAACAATCATAGTTATTTTCTATTATTTTACGGCAATCGAATAAATTTAATTGCACAAAAAATATTTTAAATCCGCTTTTATGTTAGTAAAAATTTACTTATTATTATTATAAATTACAAGTACATTTAAAGTATCAACTAAGGAACTATTTTAAGCATTTTATATGTGTTTGAAAGTTATGAAAAAAATACAAAAAATAATTAAAAAATCATGATCGAAGCATTACACCGTCATCACATTTATCGGATAAACATAAACATCAATCGTTTTTAGTGCGTCTTTTAGTGTTTTGTTAATATTGCAAAATAAAATTTAATTTAATTTGTTCTAAATAATCCTATTTCTCCAAAACTGTTAGGTTTCTTTAATAAATTTAATAACCATGCGTGACAGAACTGATAATGTATTTCCCTTCTAAAAAGTAAACTTAATAAATACAATTGATTGCTTTTTAAATTGTTAATAAAATAAACACACATTTGAGCTTTGTATATTTTGATATTGAAAAAGTTTTGCCTTCTTGTATTCAAAAATATACTTTTATTAAATTGATTACGTAATAAAAACTAACCTATAAATATAATTCTAAATGCCGTTTAAGTCAAGCAGTACAGGGAAACTCAATATCCTAATTGCATTCACTAATCCACTTATAAATCATCCAAATAAGAACAACCATATGAAGTGCAAAATATATTAGTTTGGGTATAGAAGGGATTACAATCCAATGGAAGATTGTATTAATTTTAATTTAAAAAATCTTAAGGGGGTGTGGTTATTTTGCCACAGGCAGCACAAGATAAGTTTCAAAATAAATAAAGAATTTGATAAATGATTAACCTCAGTGGGTACATACATATCGGAGGTAGTAAATAGGGTGTGTACACTTGGCATGGATAGTATAATATTTAAATACTATGGTATTACATTTACGATAAAAGAGATGCTACATTCTCTTCTTGCAAATAAACATATGCTTAACAATTAAGAAAATCAATGGCGTTAACAAAACGTGGGTACATGTAAATAAATATACCCATGAATATCAAAAACCAATCATTTTACACACTTTAAAATTTAATTTTGACAAATGGAGATATATTAATATTTTCTTTCAACAAAATCAAAATATATTTTTGTTTTTACTTTGAGAAAATTAAAGTGAGTGTATATTTTTTATGAGATTTAACACACACGTGAAAAACGGTTGCCAGATTCTTCTTTAGAGAAAAGAATTCTTTGTTTTACGATTTTCTGAAAATGTATAATTTAAAAAACAGGAAAAGGGTTTTAACATTTTTGATGAAGATATCAATATAGATTATCGAATTCAATATAAAATATATTTATATCATATATAAAGTTTTTGTTTTAAATTTAAGATAAGGTTTTTACACAATTTTCAGAGAAAAAAAATATAATTCAAGGGCACGAAAGGGGTAATTCTAAAGAATTTCTCTAGCGCAGTAATTGTCCCTCAATTAACTTATTTAGTGACAAAAGTGATACAATTAATGATAATTTAGATTGGGTAATTTAAGGTCATGTTTAGAGGAGGAAAAGTAGTTTAGGAGCGTGAAAAGGAGTCGGGTAGGCGTTTAATATATAGCAGATACTTCTCAAAACTTAAGACGTTAGAAACGTAAATATCATTACATTTTTAAAATTATGAATTGTAATGAGTTTTTTGAAATAGCAGTTAGAAATTACGGCAAAGGACCTACCATTATTATCCCGACAATACCGGGTCATTTATTCTATTGAACAATAAAAGGAAATGATATTTCAAGGGTGGTCAAATGTCCTAC